GTGAAGTAAGAGCATAGAGCCTCCCAGTTAGCTCAATTCGGATTAAGTAGTTCTAGGTTGCACTTTGCTTCCATGAGCTAGTGTCTCGGATCTTATATTATGCGTTACTCTTTTTCTCCTGTATACAGATTTGATACGCCAAAATCTCAGCCGTCTATATCTGCATCTACTCGGTCCTTCAGATGCATGCTGTCAGTGTATTTACAAGGTTGATCACAAATATTATGTGATTTCTGCATTAGTCTTGCATGGTAATTAACGATACATAGATGAACGTGCAAAGCACCTTAGTGAGATGCCTGGTGCATTAATTACATTTGCTAGCTTGAATCTTTCCTTCTTTCGCGCCTTCTAATCTCTTTATTTTTTTCTTGCACTTGGGTTCAGTTTGTGACCGATGTACACTTGTGTCATCATGTGTCTAATATACTACTCATGCATGCATGCATATGACTATATGAGAATACAAAAATACATGACGGGGGCATGCACCTGTGACTGTCAAAAAATAAAAGGTATGAGAGAGATAAGACTCATGATTTTAAAAACTGGATCGGACTAGAAAGTCGGACTGGTTGACCCGGGAAACAGTTATGGATCTGGGTCCGGTTTTGGATCCCAAAACTGTTTAATCCAGGTTAAGACCAGATGGTCAAATCATTTGACCCAAAATAGTTCAATTTTTTATCCGGTTTACATAACCATGGTAAGACTCTTTTTATTACACAAAATGGGGATATGCATGTGAAAGTTAATATTTATAAATGAATAAAAAAAAAGTTCATATTTATAATGGGCCAAAAACGTAAAGAAGGCCAATTCCTTTAGATGTTCAGGGAGCAGCGGAGCATTTTTAAAGGTTGGCACATGCCGAAGTATTAATGGTGGGCAACAAATATATATATATATATATATATATATATATATATATAGGAGATTCATTACAGTTTTTTATTAGCATAAAGCTACTTGCTATGCATACCTCTCGTGCAACGAAAGTTAAAAAGGTTAAACAGATAAAAAAAAAGGAAATTGTACAATAAAAAAAGAGATAAAAAAGAGACGACAGATTTTAAGTTAAATTTTGTTTTAGTGTACGTCCTAGTTTTTAGCACAAAATAGGGAAGATACGGGTGGTAGCATGTAAAGCTACAGCCAACATGACGTGTGTAAACTATAAAGTAAATTAAGAATGCATGGAAAGCCTTGGGGCAGTTGATAGCTGACAGTAGGTGCAAGTTGGGCAAATCGGATTGGGTTAAAAGTCAACCCAGGCCCAACCCTAACGCGAATAGGGCTTATAAGTTACGAATCTGGACTCTGAACCGTCTAATTCAGATTTAGCGGAAACTTCTTAATTTTTTAGGTGAAAAGGATTTTATCTATTTAGATAACATACCAAAGCATGGGGATTTATATTTATCTTACAGATGTGAATCTATTAAATAAATAATCGTAACATAGGTTTGGGCCACCTAAATATTAGACCTGGACCCGGTCTAAAAAATAAAAAAATCCGGGATTTTGGGCACAGAGACCCAACATGTGAATTGAAAATATAAGCCCAACCGATGCACAATTACGTTCTAGATCAGTCTGGACTCAGATTAAACCGACTTCACTTTCACTCATTCAAGGACGGACGAAAGCATCCGTCCCAAGATTTTTATTGGGCCAGCTGGATCTATTAATTCACGTTAGAATTGCTTTTCCCAATAAGTTTAAATGAGAAACGATTGGTTACGGCGTTTGTCTAACGACGTCAAGTTAGATCTAATTTGAATAACTCCAACTATTTTCATCTTTTATAGTTTACATCTATTTGGGTTTGAGTTTTTTTCCCAAAATCAAAAAGCAAAGAGAAGAGGGAGGCCGAACTTACTCCTCCCCATCACCGTTGCAGAGCATATGAAAAGCACAACCATTTCCATAATACGAACTGGTTAGTTGATATTATATAGGCTTCAGAATGGTGAGACAGAGTTATTGGCGTAACAGAAATCAGAATGAAAAAATAGACAATAAAAAAATAAAATGGTTGTGCTTTTCATGTGTTCTGCAATGGTGATTGGGAGGAGTAAGTAAGGTCGGTCTCCCTCTTTTTCTTTGCTTTTTTATTTTGGGGAAAAAAAAAAAAGCTCAAACCCTAATAGATGCAAGCCATAAAAATTGAAAATAGTTGGTATTATTCAAATTAAATCTGACGTCGTTAGATAAATACCGTAACCAATAGTTTCTCATTAAAACGTTGGGACAAGTAACTCTGACGTGGATTAATAAATCGAACTGGCCCAATAAAAATCTTGGGACGAATGCTCCGTCCTTGAATGAGCGAAAGTGAGCTCGATTAAACCCACCAAATTGCATCCTACTTGACAGTACATTTTCCATCTTCGGGAAGATGTGTTCGTTTTGTGGATTTCAACCACGCTAGAAAACAACATGAATATAGTAAACTTTTATGGATCAATGTTTTTGGTCCCGATATGTTCGAGGAACAAAATACATGGGTCCGCACTTTTTATAGTGGGGCCATAAATTTATTACTATCATCGAATCTTATCATTGGTTATACAGTACCTTAAATAGTCAAAGTGTTTTTCAGTTTCTTACTTTTGTTCTTATTCCCTAGTATTATTTGGATTTTTTTTTATATTTTTTAACTAGAGCGGAACTAAGGACAGGCAAACTTCATTGTCACCTTCTAGTTAGACCTGTTCATAGGCCAGGCCGGATTTTGTATATGTATCAATAGAATATATTCAGACTTGAGCYTGAGCCTGACCAGAAATTTGAAAATAGAATTTTTTCTTTTTTATTCAATAAAAAAAGTGTTTTATTTATATTAAAAACCTTCAAAACTCAAAAATAATAAACATCTCACTATTATTTGGAAAAAAAGAAAAGAAGAGCAAAGAAAAAAATATTGTATATATATATAAATTTTATTAAATAAAATATATTTTTATTATTTAATATATAGTATCAAGCTAGGCTCGAGCTTGGGTCAGGCTTTTTCGATTAGTATCCTATACTTTGGACTTGGTGCCACTTTGGTCCCCAAACTTTAAAATACGATAATTCAGTACCCAAAACTCTCAAAATGTGTCAATCCAATACCTACCGTTAACCAACCGTTAAATGCCTTTAAAAAAGACACAAATGTCATTCGAGTGTCATCTAATTTTCTTTATCAACCATCTAAACATTGACAAAAAATTAACAATCCTAAATTCTTACCTCTTCTATTCAAGAAAGTTGGGGTCTATAATGCCCATTGAGACGTGACCCCAACTTTCTTGAATAGAAGAAGCAAGGATTTGGAATTGTTAATCTTTCGCCAACATTTGGATGGTTGATAAAGAAAATTAGATGACACTTGAAGAGCATTTGTGTCATTTTCAAATGCCACTTAACAACTGATTAACGATAGGTACTAAATCGACATGTTTTGAAAGTTCAAGTACTGAATTGTTGCATTTTAAAGTTTGGGGGCCAAAGTGACACTAGGCCCAAAGTATAGGATACTAATTGAGAATTTTTCCTTCTTTTTTGAAATAAAAGGTAATTTCTCAAATATTTTAATCCTTAATATGTTAATTATATATATAGACAATTTTTTTTAGAATATAAATATCTTTTTATCTTGGGGTAAATATTTTTTCCCTATAATATAAATCCTGGCTTAAATATTTAAACCACCTCTTTCTTACCTAATAAGTACTGAAATACTAAAATATACCTTTTATTTTTCTAAAATGACTAATAGTATGGTAGTACCCCTGACAAAATATCGGAAAAGTATGGACATGCTCAATGCAGATTTCTGAATTCCACTGCAGAGCGATAAACATTCAAAATGTCAAAAATCTCCACTCTATACATCAATACCCGCTGTAAACATCAAATTYCAAAATCCGAATTGACAGCCACCCCAATTATACTTTGAGCCTAAAAATTCCAACCCTGGGCTGAACCATCATTCTCCCGACAAAATACCCGACTGATAAAGATAAATGAAATTTATGAAAATATTTATTTATCCCTTGATTGTTCTTTACATGTCTGAAACGTTGACTCAATCCACTTTAGCTTGCAATTTGGCGATATTCATGATAGGGGCTCTAATTCGATTCGAGTTAAAGATTTGAGTTCAAATTCAGTTTGACTCAAAAAGTTGATTAGTTTGAATGGTTCAGCTCAAGTTAGATTGTGATCTAAACTTCTTATAAAAATAAAAAAAGAAAGTTATACATATAAAAAATTAAGAATATGCACAAAAAGCTGTCACAAGAAAATTCAGAATAAGAGTATACACAAAAATCTGTCATAAGGAACTCATAAGCCAAACTTTATTAAACACGAATTCGGCTCAATTAACAAATGAACCTCTCAAACATGGCTCAAAACTTGATTTTGATCAATCTAAATCACACTTTTCATAAGTCGAATAGTTCGTGAAAAGCCCGATTTGTCTTCTATTTGGCGGTGAAGAATGAAATACAATTAGCAATTAATAGGAGGTGATTAAAACTCTTTCATTGTAATTGGTGGAAATGAATGAATTGACGTGTAAAAGAAAATCATTAAAAACTAATCATGTCAACATACTTGTCTTTGTTACAAGAACTATGCCAGAAACCACAGCAGAGGTTTAAGTAATTTATCCTTTAATTTTTACATAATTAGTAAAGCAGATTATAACTCTCCCTATTTTCCACCTGCTGTGAATTTTGATGAAAACCAGCTGATTTGTCACTTTTATTATACCGTGGATTAGTTGTAAGTTTTTCCGGCATCAAGCCCGCACGTCTGGTATCTGTAAACTGAGTATACAGGACAAGATTAATTGGTATTCAAACCGAAGTTATTGTAAGAGTGACCAATCACCTCAGACAAAGTACAGGGGAATGCATCCTAACCGCGAATTGCGAATTGATGTTAAATTCACGGACAGGATGTGATTTATAAGGGGGAGAGCTAATAATAGAGGACTGGAATTCAGAATTCTGCATCGGATGTATCCGTATTTCTTTGAATAAACAAATACATGATAGCTATCTAACTAGCTATTACAGTCTACATTGGCATAATATGATGTGAAATTGCCATTTATATCCTTGTTTCTTTTTTTTTTCACGATTTAGGAAAAAACATCCTTGATGGCCACTCTGTTCTTATGTTTACTGGCTAGTCCTAGTTATTCATCTTCATCATCATCATCTCCTCTTATTTAAGCATTTTTCATCTTAGGAGCATCCTCCGCTGATTCCTCGGCGGCCCGGTTCTTGTCGTAGTAATGCATGACCGCAGCTCCGGATAGCACCGCCAGGGTCAAGGCCTGAGCATGCATTCTGCAAAAACAGAGGAAAGACAATGTCTCAACACACACACACACGAGTACATGGCACATCAATCCATCATCACTAGCTAAGCTTACAAATACAAATTAGATGGATAAGAACCAACCTAGCATGTATAAGCCTAAGGCTTGGTTTGAGGGGTGACTTAGCTCGTGTATAAGCTACTAGGGATGCTCCTATGGCCGATGCCCACACTGCGCCTGTCCCCGCCACCATCACCCAAAACCAAATTAACCAAAATAATATTTATTAGTTAATTAATTAATGACTATTCACAGACAAGAACTTAATAAGAATCATGCATGCATGTGCCCTCCGGATATTAATTACCTATGCTGGCGAGCTTATGTTCCGAAATCCAAGACTGTAATGGCCCCATTCTTCAAAAATTTTCTAAGGACAAATTATTGAGAAGAAAATGTGGACACGGATAAAAGAGAGAAAGAGGAAATGAGAGGAGAATAGAAGGATATAATGGCAGACAAACAGACAGAGCTCAAAGCTCAGAATAGGAGAGGCTCAGGTAAGAGATGAAGCTTTGGATAGGGTAGCATTTATAACATTTGTTTGGGGGGTTTTCTGTTTGGGGCCCCTGGTTTCCTTATTAAACCTTGGGAAGCTTTGGATAAAAACTAGTGGCCCATCCTCCCCCTCTTTTACTAGGTTTAGTTTTACTACTCTTTCATTCCATGAATTCCATTTCCACTCATCATCTGTCTTTTTTTCTTAATATTTTGGTAAAACACTCATCATCTGTCTGAGGTTACGGTGTCTTTTTCTTTGAACGCTTTCAGATTTTTTCTTTTTTAAATCAAAATTCAAAAATGTGGTCATAGTTGAGTGCCGCTTCTGACCCGTTGGACTCCCACCAATTGGTAATGGGTTACTCAGCTTTTCCAAGCCCTTCAGGAAAAACGTGTCTGCTTTCACTGTTTTCCTAGCTTTCTTTTTTATTTATTTTTTATTTCTTGAACATTATCCACATCGAATCCGCTGCTCACTGCTTTTTACATTATTCCTTTATTTCTCTTATGTTTTCAAGAGAATCTGAACCGTTCGGTTTCTGCAGAGAACTGTGATTCATCCACGTAGATTTCGTGGGTTTTATCGGCGTTGGTTAAAACTTTTTTTCTAATGCCTAGTTTACTTTCACGTCTTCACCACTTTCTTTTGGATTGATTGATAATAAGATATTAATTTAAGACTGGAGTTTACCAAAATATATAAAAAAATGACCCAAGTTCTACGAAATTCTTACCCCCGGATCTGCCTGACTATACGAAACGGGCGGGAATATTGGTACAATACAACACTGTCAAGTGTCAACAGATGGACCACGGATACCCCAAATTAACCATTTTATCTAAGTCGTCGTATCTTGGTAGAGCACTCTCCTATCACATGGGTTCTACTCAAGAGTAACAAATGAAGAATATTTCAAACAGCCTGATAGCTAAACTACAAATAAAAACACAAGTGAATGGTAGTAGTCTGGTGAAGAATTGAAGATTCCAAGCTGACGAGACAAATAATTCGCAATTTCACATCATCTCAGAATTCACTCTTTATCTGGTTACTAATAATAAGGAATAAACTTATAAACGGAGTCAAGGGGCAGAGTAATTGGGTTAATGGGTAGGAGGTCTGGCTTTGATTCGGTAGGGGGAATCGAGTAGTAGTAGAACCATTCCAAAATTCAAATCCGCTTGAAAATATTCAAAGCGGCCCATAATATGAGACAGTAGAAAATTGAAACCATGTAAAGCAATCTTATTCTAATGAAGTTAGGGGGGAAGCTCAACTGCTAAGTTTTTTTAAGACTGCCAGGTGTTTTAGAAATTTTCTGATCATTGATCATTATTAATGATTTGATGGTTTCCTCTTGGACTTATTAACATTTTATATTCGACTACTTAGGTCCTCGTTGTCGATGAACGTTTTTCGCGTTCTCAGTGTTTTTATGGAGAATAAAAGATATGTTTGGTAAAAAAATAAAAAAAAATAATAAGGTTCTCGCGTGAAAACAACATTTGGGGAGTGAAAAATCATGCTTACGTGGTTCCCATGATGTTAACTCTTATTAACCAATGTGTGTTAACAACTCTCATATAAAAGAAGGGGTATTTTGAGTATTTTACATTAAATAATAGAAAAAAAAATCCTATCAAACATTTTCGTTTGATAGTAAATTTTTCCAACTTGTGGCTATAAATTTCAGAAAAAAAAGAGAGATTCCCTTGATTCCAACTGGACGACGAGCGAACGGTAAAAAGTATTGGTGACATTCCCGGCCAGAACATGTCAACAAGTATATTGTTTCGTCATTATACTTGGTGGTTTTATATCATGTGCTCTGTTTTAAACTCATATTTTCTTTGGTCAGATTCATCTGAAATCGGTTTTGTAGCAATTACTGCTTGTGGGTGTTGTTGCACCATAACATGTTAGGCTTTTGTTTTATTGTCTGTATGTTTTGTTTTAATCCTCAAGTGATCAAAGATTAGGTGGTGACAATACAAAGACATCATTATAACAATGATATATGTTTTTTATAGTTAATTTTAGGTTCAATGTGAGTGGATTTGCAAAACTAATGTTAAGAAATAATTTTATTATCCAAGCGCTATTTTTGTTCTTGTAGAATAAAAATTCGTTCTCGAAAAATAATTTATCAAATATATCTATTACTCCTACAGAATAAAAAATAAAATTCTTGCTTTTGAATAGAAATTTCTAAAATAACTATCCTGATCGTGAGAATTACCGTGCAATTACTATCCTGATCGTGAGAATCTCTGGGATTATGTTATATTTAGGGGGTGCTAAGTCAAATACTCGATTTGAAATTTCAGACAGCATCCGGCCGGTTTTTCAGACCGGATCCATTCAAGTTTTGACAAAATCCCAATACGAATCCGTCGAAGGCACAATCAATAACAGCAGCTAATCCAAACCGGAAGGGAAGAAATTAAAACGGCATGCCCACCCAGATTTGCTAAATCATGTAGGCCTTCTGCCCGTAAATCTTCTGCTCGTGCCGATACACGAGTCCCACTAATCAAATCATCTGTCTACACACACAAAAAAAGGGGAGGGGGGGAGGAGTATTAATAAAAAAAGGATTTACTCAATGATCTCGATTATTCATTTACAGCATCTGCTAATTTTCATAAAGATCAGATGCTTGAAAAGAATTTGGATATGTTGATCACTTGATTGCTGTTGGTACAAGAGATTTGTAAGTTCTTCGGACTCATTTATCACTATTATCATTAGTGCATTACGCCATATTCAGGACATCTGACAAAATAATTATGTGTAAATCGAAGTTGGAGCTGGATATACAAGTTCACTGTAATGCAAATATAGCTAGTAGGAACTGATGAAAAAATAAATTAATATATGTGCTTATAATTGACTATAATATTATGATTAATACCGGAAAAAGAAAATAAAAAACTGGCTATGGGTCTATGACATGCACGTAGATACGGTAATCCTAATCAAGTCATCATCTGCATTCTAGTCTAATTCCGTCCCAATATTATCAACATACGTTACACCGTTAAATAAAGCTGAATTATCGGATGCATTCCCTAAATCTCATGCATATTCAGCACCCAAGATTTTAACGCATTCATTGTAATTGTAGCTGGTTATTGCATTTTGTACATATTCTGATCGAGTTCCTTATGACTGATTTTTAACTGGTGTGGCGTGGGGAATACATCCAATTGTATCAGCAGGCAGCAGGCAGCAGGCAGCAGGCAGTAGGTAGGGGTAGTCTTTCAAAATTCAAGGGCACAAAGTGCACGACAACAATTTAGGAAATCCAAGGTGGAACCGACCAACTAGAGTCTATCCAAGTGAGAAATTATAACATAAAACTTGGTAATGAAGTAAGAATTGGATGTTTTTGCCCTGTTTTCCGGCTGATGGGAAAACAATAATCTATTATTCACCTACAACTGAATTAAAACATCAACCAAGAGAGAAATACAAATTTTATTGATTCATGTAGTTGTTTGTACATAGAAATAGAATTCGTAGCTTCCCTACAACTACAAGGTAAAACTTGTTTTTCCTTTTCGTCATCATCTAACAGAGCATTAAGAATAACTAGAGTTGAGAGAACGCCTCTCGCTCTCATTCTCCCAATCATCTCACAAACACCATCTACTTGCTAAAGATAACCAGCTCTCCTCCGTTAATACGAAAGAAATAGAGCAAAGAGTGAACTTAATTAGTTGAGGGGTATTTTGGAATTCTGGACTTGATCGGCAGGATGGTCGGTTTCATAGTAATGGACGACGGCCGCAGTGGAGAGCACCGCCAAGGTAAGAGCTTGTGCATGCATCCTGTACCATCAAATTAATTTGTTAGATTAACACTGCTCTTTATATTCTAGATAGATTGTTGAAGAGTAGGAGGGGGAATGTTAGGAGTGAACAAGAAGTTGGGGATACGAACTCTGGATGCAGCAAGGGGGCGGGCTTACCGAGCATGGATGAGCCTCAAGCTTGTCTTAAGTGGGGTTCTCGAACGCGTATACGCTAGTGATGCCCCAATTGCAGATGCCCACAGAGCGCCTGATATGTACCACCAGACAAACCTTCATCTTAGTTAGTCTTGTAAAGATGTTTTCAAGAGAGAGAGAGAGAGAGAGAGAAGCAAATAATGGAAGGAGATGGTAAAATGAACTTACTAATGCTGGTGAGTTTGTGCTCGGAAACCCAAGACTTCAAGGAATCCATCTTGTTAATTACAATTGAGTGGGAAAGAAAATAGCAGACAAGTCTGAATGACAGGCAGATCGGATGAAGGTTGGGTATTTGATTGAATGGTCGTGAGTGGAAGATTGAAGGTGGAAGAAGAGAGGGATGGAGTCCTACTTATAGGACATCTCGCGCTCGCCGGCTACATTTTTGTTTGCGTAGCCCCTGGTTTGCGCTTCCTTTTTCTTTCTCTCTCTCTGCTTCTCAAAACCTGGGGAAGCTGTAACTTTTTTAACTAGTAGACTTGGGAAAAGAAAACCAACGGCAGCACAGCAGATACCCAAACTCAGTGTTAAGGGTTATTGAGAAACAGAATAGAGAGTACACACTAGACGACGAAACAACTTGGGGATCTGCTAACACTGCCTGCAGGCTGCAGCATCGGCGTCGACGAAGCAATTAGAACCGTCGGATCTCGTGGAAAAAAGTGGTTTTGCTGAGTTTGCAGAACAGGTGTCAGACGTCTGATTATTAATATTAAGAAACCCATAATGTAAAAGAGAAAAGAGGGGGTACCGAATTTGTAATTTTGCAAAGGACAACCGGGCAAGAAGAAGCTACCATTCTTATCAAATGGGGGAATGGGTTTGGGAGTTGGGACCCTCAAGGCCTCAAGGCTCAACTCATCCTCACCCTCTTGCATCTGGCCAAATGCCAATCCATATCCTCCTCCTATTCATGCTGATGGATAATCCTATCCGTCCATCCAAACTCATAATTCATGTATCTTCCTTCCAGGAGGCCACCGCCCACAACATCCAACAATTTGATA